CTGGTCCGTGAAAATATTGTCGGGCATAAACCGGTCCGTGGCGCAAAAAAGGTTGGGGACCGCTGCTATAGGCATCTATTGAACTCTTCTTCTTAGACTTTTAAATTCCCTTTATAGGGATTGTGCTCTTTATTTTTTCTGCTTTTTCCCCCCTATATTACTCTTTAGAGTTTGCGTTTACATTTGAGTATTAAAATTGTAAATGTATCTATCCGTCATTTCAGCTAGTTTGTCATTTGTCGCTTATCAGTGGGTTATGTATGCAAAATTAAATACAATGCTTTTTGTCATTTTACACTATTTTTAACCAGATACTGAGTTTTTTTCTGTCTTAAGAGATAACAAATAATATAGAAGTGGCGAATAAGAATGATTTTTTTCTCCACATTTTATTTGTCGTGTAGGAGGACTATCCTTACAGAGTACCCAGGGATGACTCCCACACAGCGCGGCCTTTGGAGTTTGGGTAAACTGTTTGTCTTAAGATTTGTTTTAATATCAGCCACATTCTGTATGCATACAGTATTCCATCCATCCTCTTCTGCTTAATCTTATCAGGGTCGCAGTGGGGCTGGAGAATATCTCAGTTAACATAGGGCGAGAGACAGGATACACCCTGGACAGGTCGCCAATCTGACACAGTGCTAACACCGAGAGAGACAGACAACCATTCGCACTCACATTCACAGCTATGGGCAATTTAGAGACACCAGTTAACGTAGCCCCACTAATGTGTTCTTGGACTGTGGAAGGAAGCCAAAGTACCCGGCTTCCTCCCACACACAAACACGGGGAAAACATGCAAATTCCACACAGAAAGGCCACGGCCAGATGGTGGATTTAGACTGTTGCTTATTAAAATGTTTTCATTTTGGACAGCAGGGGACAGTCTTGTTCTATTCACTTGATGTTATAAGGAAGTCATTTCTGTTTAGTTTCTCTGGTTGGACTTGGGGGGGGATTCAGGGGGGGATGTGTTTGTAATGTTTGTGTACATACCAGCAATCACAAGTCGTGGTCTGTTTCTGACCCATATTGGCCTGTCTTACTTCATTTCCTTTTCTTGTGGTCTCTGCTGAGCTCTCCAGACTCTTAGTTTACACAAGTGTTGGTCTAGCAATGTTGGCTAAATAGTGTCTATATTTAGGCTAAACACTAGGTTTGCAGACATTTAGGTGACAAGTTTACAATATTCTCTCAAAATACTGGTTCAATTCAGTGTGATTTTTGTCTGTTAATAGACAAAGGCACCACAAATTAGCTGTAAATAACATCAACAAATATGAGTCAAAATGTATTTTACCTGTGTGTAATGCTGATGTGTGATAATAGCACATTAAATAGTACTAGGTAGCTTATTTGAACATTATTAAGAATATTTTAATATCGGGGTACAATTAGTGCGCTAAAGTTTAGTAAAACCCTCAATGTTGCATTTGCATATTTCATTATTAAAAACGACGATAAGGTTTGCCAGTTATATCTGTGCTCTATGCTATTGCCAAAATAAAAAATATATATGCAGTTCATGTTACCTAACTGATGAGTCTGCAGTGTTATGACTTTAACAACAAAGAGCGGAGGTAACTTGCATGTCTATGTTACAATTTGTTCACTTTGGGAAAAGTTGAAGGATTAGCTTTAATTAGTTTAATCCTCCCTGACACTGAGATGTGGTAAGAGACCTGTAGGTATTATGTCGTCACACATGGGTGCATTTTGAAAATGCGCTGTTTGTACAGTAGCAAAATTTATGAACAGTACTTGGGTACAAAGTGTACTCACTGGATAGACCAATCTAGGCAGGCAGAGAGAGAAGAGGGGAAGGTTGAGAGTGATTTTGTTTTCATAGCTGCGTCAGATGCATGGTTGTTTAAGTTGTCTAAAATTCTTGACAAAAGCACAAAACATGTTTTTTCCCATTTTAGGGTTTTGTTATTGCAAAGCAAATATCCTGTATTGCACGGAATGAGCACGCAAAGCGCTTTATATAACTTGTCTCATTCATCCATTCATACCCAGTCATGCAAGCATTTTTGTCTGAGGTAAACTGTTTTCTATCAAACATTCACACACATTCATACTCGGATCAGTGCGTCAGTGAGCAACTTGGGGTTAGTATCTTGCCCAAGGATATTTGGCATGCAGACTGGAGCAGACAGAGACCAAACCACCAGGCTTCCAACCTGCTCTATCTCCTGGACTAAAGCCACCCTTAATACTCCTTCTAGTGTAGCCTTAGACCATTTGGATGTTAATTCTGTTTCCTGTCATGTTTTAGATACACAAAATATCTCCTTAATAGTTCGTTACACAACTGATACTAAGAAAAATGCTGCCCTTTATCTTTAGCCAGAAAGCATGTGTCCAGTCAACCTGTTTGAAGTAAGGCTTGGATTTGTGGCTGTTGAAAGAGCTCTATCTCATGTGGTCACTTAGCAGATGTGAATTCCTTTTTGAAGATTTGTGCCTCAGTGAGAAATTCACTTTGTGGCTACGCC